CAGATGGAGTTCGTTCCTTTCTCATGTATGATTTGATGCTATGTGATAACTGCAGCAGATCCTACAATAATATTTGCACTTCCCACAATTCCTCTGCACATAAAATTTGTTGTGGATCCCAGTCATAATATTTACGCATAACATGACATTCAATAATATCTCTGATAATACCTATCACAGTGAAAATCTTCGACGTCTCACCTTGCAGTTGACCCTTTTAATGTCTTATCCTGTCTTCAAAAGCAGGTAAGGTGATTTTGTTTTGCAACTGGCTAAGGAAAATTAGGATTATCAATTAGGTATATTGTGAGATATTAGGGAAATATATAGTGAACCCATTAACACATGGTCCAGCTTATGGAATGTAGTTGATTAAGCAGACTCCATTACACTTGATAGGGCGATACTCATTGAAACGTTACTTTAATTGTTCTGTTGTCGAGGCAGAAATTTTTGCTTGATGGACGATTTGCAGTTGGAGTTCAGTGAATACTACTACTGTGTCATATTATGATGAGTGTAGTGCAGAAGACTTGTCATAAAAACACTGTAATCTTAGTGATCAGTTGAACGCCTTTTGTTAATTAAATATGTGAGTGCCATAACTGCTTAAATGACCTTCTGCATTTTCACATGAAAGATTAGGAACATGTATCGTGCTTTTTATGCTTGTTGAAATCTCGTGTTCGAAAGCCTTAAGTTATATGTGAATATATGTGCCCAAATACCTACATGCAATCGAAGTATGAGATAATGAAGATTGGAAACCTCAAATTATTCAGATGGAAACACATTAATCACAAATTCTTACATGGAGGAGATATGCGCACAATATTTAAGGGCAGGACGATATGGGATGTGATGCTGAACAAATGTTTTCGAATGAAATTAGGACAAAAATACCTAAAAACAAATAAAGATGACATGTGTTAGAAAAATTAATATATGATTAGACACTGAGTATGGAGAAGCAAACACTTGGTTTACTGAATATCAAATGTGATTTCCTTCCCTCTCATTGATTACTGCTCCAGAAGCACTGATAGATTGCATATAAGTTTTGTGTAGTTATAAATATTATCTCGTGTTATTCTGCTTCTTGTACCCTGGGTCTGATATAACGTGTCTAGTCCCATTTATGTATTAGCTTGTCATCGTATTATGCCTGAGAACTAATATTTCAAACCAACCGTCATATTTAAACAGCTTTTACACAAGTCATGAGCCAAAAACAAATCCCACTTTTTTCAAGAACCCAAACCTAACAATGAAAGTCTGATATGAACCAAATGTCTGGCCCCGCATCAGTCTGCCCTCTAGTATCCTGAGGCAATTTACAGATGCAGAAATAAATGAGTGCTTTTGAAGCCATGACAAATCACGTGTGCGGGGATAATCAGAATAGATATATTTCGTAATTAGTTTTTGCTACCATTTGCATTTCTTTCATTAATTCTCATAATTGATCAGGGTACTAATATGTCTGTGAAAAATTGTTTAAAAAACATGACACTGACTCTTCCGTTCCGTTTTTTAATCCCACATACCATGACGCGCTGTTTATCACTCACAAATACACTACTGTATACAAATGTTCCTTCTCAATTACCCATTGTTGCGATGACAGAATATATTTGCAATCTGCAATGACAGATCACAGTGATATTTTCATTATATATTTTATCTGTATACACATCTCGAATTTTAAAATTATCAATGAAATTACTAACTACTTGTAACTGTGGATTACCAGTCCAAAAGAAATTCGAACACACTATTACCCGATAGCTTAAATAACGTCCTGTACATTTATTCTGTGTATATAGCTTATAATTGATATATTAACACATTAATTGTTGACGCAATAACTGCATCATTATTGTTGTAATTAATATATATTTGATCCACCAGACACGATATTGAAGTATATCAAAAATGACAAGTCTCTGAGCGGAACGTTTCTCAAAAATAAAGCATTTCCAATCAGTTCTCAATTGCCAATAAATTACATGACAAAAAGCAACATACAAACAGAATCATATCATGAAAACAAATTCAAAAGGATTTCTATATGAATAATACTGTTACATCGACAAGTTATAGTTCATTACATAGACACTTTACAGGATCAATAAAACAACTTTTGATGGATCCAACCAAAAATCATATTGAAGAGATACATATTGTCCAGATATACAAAAACCTTTTTTGCTGTAGTGCCTAATGCTGATTTTTTAAAAAAAACTTGTAGATCAACTGATTTATCTTAGAGTAAGATTCTTGTTTTACTTAAGAAATGATTTGGAAATAGAAAATCAAACCAATCAATTGTTTGTAAGGTAGTTAAAGGTAACTCGCATCGTCGGGCAGAGTCAATATTATGTATTGGTCGCTTCATTCTAGATCGTAAGCAAAATTGACCAATGTTATTGCTGAAAACAAACCATCCATGATCCTTCTTTAGTGATAATCATTTAAAAGTTATGGTATGAATGTATAGTGTTTTAGCCAAAGCTATGTTTTGTACATGCCACCGGAACTCATTGTCTTTATAATTATTGTACTACAAGCAAATCGAACTGTTGAGCTTCTGCATGGAGAGTTATACTAAAACTTATTATGGAACAATGAAGGGGACGGTTGGGATTGGAATTCTAATCAGAAGGTGAAAAGTAATTCAGCGTTCGGAAGTATAGATAGCTTCTGGCAGACAGTTCATCTAGGGAATGCACGGTTGGAATATTTGTACGTTAGATTTATATAAGAAAACATAAATGCATTGCGCGCTGATACACTATTGTCACACCAATTTCTAGAGTGATAAATAATAGGTGGGAAGAAATTCACGATATCTAAGGATAAAGTCGTTTCTTATAACCACAGGACAGTTTGTTTTGAAAATACTTGGAATCTAATAGACAATAGGAAAACTTAGAAACAGCGAAAACAGAAAGCACTGACTTCATTGGCATCTCATAAACATGGCTAACAGTAAGCGTCAGATAATGTAGCATTAGGTATCATACTGTGCTGAAAATGTACACTAACAATAAGAGCTATCGCCACAGTGGTGCACGTTTCAGTAACGTGTGAATCGATGATCCGCCAAACGGTATAGCAGGTGATCTCGTGCCAACGTGTAACATTCTCCGAAACAAATAGAAATGAACTAGTTTTTCAAGTTTAAAATTAGCGAAAGAACGCGGTTCCATTTGCGAATATGGAGAAGAGTCCGAAATAGGACGAGACGTGCGTCCTAGATTTCACTGCTAGCCACTACATATCGAAGTATTTCTAGTTGCATTTCCAAGAGGACTTTCAAAATTTGGAACGTCAATAATGCTTATACACATTTGAACTTATCCTACTGAATAGGTTAGAATAATTTACAAGCAACTGTAATATAAATGCACTTCAAATTAAAAACGAAATTTTAGGTTGATTTAACTGTTACCGGTGTGAATCATCTGACGGTGATTGGCTGATCTCTGTTTCATAACACATTTAAGGGGTAAAGGCATATTATGTTATCAAAATAAACTCTCTAACCGCTGATTGAATAGCTAAGTATATCCATAAGTTAAACATGAATCACGTAAAACAACTAAATTTAAGCAACAACAGAAATATTTCTCATAACATCTTGACAGATATGATAGAAGGCAACATAAGAATGTAAACTATAGTTAGAATTTCGATCTCAATTTCTAAGGTAAAATATGTCGTACAATCCACTCATAGCAATCAGTGAGTATTTAGTTTACATGTTCCGTTATTGTTTAAATCCTGATAGCTATTTTTCCCATTGAGATCGAGTGGATTATACAGGGTTGTATTTATGAGACTAACGATCAGTATCAGATGGGATTAATAAGAATGGATTTGAACGTTCATAATTTCTAAGATTTCAACTGACCAAAAATTAACAAAGACAGTTGACAGCATTCAACAATCCATGATATAGCAATATACCACTCAATTCAAATCCAGAATGCTCAACAAACGTTCACAAAAATAATATTCGGCTGACATCCATGAATGCAGTGAACACATTGCACATGAGGAATGATAAAATAATTAAACATAAATGCAAAGTTACTTCATAAGACTCGTGCGTTTTAATGTTTAAAGAAATTTCAGTTTTTTGATTTCAAAACCATATCAGATGTTCTGCAGAAGCATATTCTTTCATGATTAGACCACTATACTCTTGGATTTTTTTCGTTGTATTTATGTATAGATTTATTGAAAGGCCAAATATGTTACGAGAAAACAATGTTGGAAGTACCTATGTGACTTTCATTCTTAGGCATACAATAATGTATTTTGTTAAATACATTAATAATGTCATCAATTGGTTGAGGTGGTGCATTTAACAGAGTAAAGTATTCTTACCGAATTGTCTCGAATAAGTTTAGAAAATCGGATGACAGAAGTGTTTCACCCACTTTTACTTTCGAATCACATCATAACTTTATGGATGGTTGGGGGATGTTCAAACATATGTATAATGAAACAATAACATAGGTACAATATGAAAGAGTGAAGAGGAACTGGAAGCAACTAGAATAGCAAAAATATGATAACGTGAATGTTTGCATTAAACAGTGCATCGTTTTTCGATCCTTTGAAAGTGTATGGAACGCTGGCGAAACATCCATTTCAGAAGCGTAACCATACCGAAATATTACCATAATAATTTGACAAAATACGTTCGTCTTATCAGGCGAACATTCAAAAAATAGAAAAGGTAAACTGCAACAAGGTAGTTAGCCATCAGTGAGAATGAATGAAAAAAGAACATCTGAGATATTTTCAAAGTGCAGAATGCTGTAAAATACAAAGAAGTCCAATATGGATTTGTTGTAAAGAGAAAAAGTAACAAATTAGAATGAAACAATCGTTGCAAATTATGAACGAAAATAAAACTGGTTTATTAGAAAGCCCACAGAATGCAAACACACATACACACACGAGCAGCAACATAGAAATAGGGAAAATTAAGCCAAATATTCATAAGCATCTCGTTCATTGTTATCTCGCTTAATATATTCTCTTTCAATAAGAGCCGTAATACATCGCTGAAACATAGAAAATATAAATAATAACAAAAACGTTTGCATTAAATATGTTTAAAATGATCAAAACTAGTGAACCTAAAAATGTGTAAGTTAAATAGTATTTCATTCGATCTTATTCAGGAGATCCTTAGAATGAAAGTTTGTTTTAATATACTTTCTTGTAGCTGAAATTAATAAATTTACTTTGGCCCAGACTATAATTTATGGACGAACCAATCACGTATAAGATAACAGGTTTCGAATTTTAGCATTATAGCTGATGTCAGTTCGTGATGAAAACCCTTAGTCTAATTTCTAACTCAAACCATCAACTATAAATCATAATTGTAATTCCTCACAGAGGTTTATAACCCTCCTGGTTATTAGGTGGACACTCACAAGGTCACTTTAGCATCACCTAAAGGTCGTCCATAAATTATAGTCTCACCTTAATTTGATTTATTAATTTACAATACTGTTTCTCGAAAAAAATAAATTCGGTTTAACATCATTTTGGTTATAGTTAATTGCAATCATAGAAGAAATACAATGATAATGACTGGGAAATGTGGAGCATAAGTAGTAAGTAAACGAGGTAGATTGGCATTTTAGTAATATAACAGTAATACCTCTAAATTGACCTGGTTTTGTACTAAGAAAATTCAAACGAGTTGATATTTTATGCTGATACAACAACGAATTCAGAGAATTAGCCCACTTCAGGATTTTTAATTATTTTAATAAAATCGAAATATAAATTACACAAATTTATTTTCAACGGATTTTATTTTTTTATTTATTTTAACACATAGATGTTGGTACAACGATGCACCAAATACATATGCGCCACACATATCTCATTTGATATATGTGTGGGCTGTGATACTGTCCGGGTGCCAAACCGAAATAGGTGGTTTTCTTAGGGGGACACACCCCGAGCTTTCGACCTGAAGGTCTGATCCACAAGGCAGTGGAGCCTCGTAAGGAGATGCAGTCCCATGGTAACCGGTGACCAACAATTGGTTCACATGCCATTTGTTCATTTGGGATCCCGAAGTCCATGTACACCATTGGAATCAGGTTTTTCCAACTCCCCTAGGTGGACTTTCTATGTCCACCAACCCGGTTAGAGCGCCGGACATTCACTTTTCGTCCTCTCGATTTCGTAAATAACAACCCCGCCACGAGAAGGCAGTGAGTAGGACTTCTGGGGCAGAGGCTATACACACGTGGCCATGTGAGAACATTTCGAGAGGGAGAGTGGACTCTCCCCACTCTGCCGTACCGGAGCATTTGGAAACTAACGGATTTGAAGACATTTAGCACTGTAAATTTCAAAATACTAGTCGTCTAATTCAAAAACGAGGGTGCTGATGTTGTCCAAAATGACATGAAAGTATCACATCTAAACTATTTAAGTTAAATGGCTTAACTCTATCAAATGTGCCACATATGTACCTCATGTTTATAAAACTCTGTACATTAATCGAATGAGGTGATTGAGACAAGTATTTCACATATCTAGTGAATGTATACACTGGTAGGCTATACAAGGTCAATAGGAGTCCCCCAAGTAGGTTACATGCGAAGGAAACATGATATGTGCAACAACACATTAAATCACTGACTGCTGACTTAGATATAGTCAACATGTGCAAAATTTTATGATTGAGGTCAGTGAAATAATTGTAATTGACGTAGTTGGAGAGTGGGTTTCGATTCACTGATAAGTGATATATACATTATTTTGTCTTGTACCAGCAATTCTATTTACTCTTGTGATTCGTATTTCCAGCTTCATTGTTCAGTAAAGCTTTTTGTTATTTCTGTTCGCTTTCCATTTAATGTGATAATTATCCCTCGATTTGTTGATGTAAAGTACGGAAGGTTGGAGCGATATACATTTGTAAACAAAAACTCATTTTGATATCTGATTGTCTTTAACCGACTAATATTAGCATTGAAACGTTTATATATGACTGAATTATCCTATAAATACATAAATATACTTCAACTGAATAGACCATGTCCACTGATAAATAGAATTTATTTATTCATATAAGGAAACCTTATCTGAACGAAAATTACCAAGTAAAATTTCTATCCTTGAATTTAAGCTACAATTTAGATGTGAGAATTAGTAATAATATCCAATTGCACAAACCGAGATTCTAAGTGAAATTGGCAACCTATGATTACAATAGTTGGGATGATAGTTGAACTAGCTAAGAAATCCAGCAACATTTTTTAGAAATATTATCAGCGTTTAGGATTTATGAAATTATAAACTGTGAAGTAAGAAATTGATGCTATTCTATTCACTTTCTTATATACGCCAGCCAATTCAACTATGGAGGCTATTGAATCGTAAAAAGAGGAAATGTTCATACTATCTACTAATCATAACATCAAACAATGATCTTCTATTTCATATATATTACTAAACAAAACTTACTTTAATTAATAATACAGTAGGTTTAAATCGAGGTGTTAATTGTGTAACGACTTCAGAGATCAATTGATGGTGTTTCATCACTTTTCTAGTCTTCATAATACGTACTATACAAGCCTATAGGAAAAAAGAGAAAAAAAGTGAGGATTAAAATGGATTGATATATTAAACTCAAGACTTAATTCATTTTGAACGTATAACTTGGCATAGTAGTGAAGAAGCTGGAGACAGATAAGTCAATCAGCATCTATGCTTAAAACACGGTCAAATTCTTAAAAACCATCCAATCTAAACTGATCATATTCTGTGTTTTGTGATATAGTAAATTAAATCAACACACATTTAAACAAATAATTGAGTTATTCAGAAAATTATATTTTTATTGGCCTTAGATACACTATTCAAATGATCTTCTAATTTGAGAATTACATTTCATAGTACTGTATTCTAGACTATTTTCCATATTAATTCAATTATGATTATAACAAATAAAACTGGATTATTCATACGTTTGTTATTTATTCAGACATTCAACAAACCAAGTGTTTATCGTAAGCATATGATTAATTTCTCTAATTCATGAAGGTTTTTTCTTTGAGAGGAATGGTTCGGTCGTGGAGCTTTCATTGTTCCTCTGATCAACATTATCATCTCCGCTTATATTAATGAATTTGGTCGATTATGGACACACATTTAACTGGAAAAAATTTTGATATCGCTTCCTTTCTTAAAAAACTTGTTAGCTTCATCTCGTCGCGCTAACGTGGCTAGAAAACTCATGTGTTAGGAAGTTCTTTGTTGATCATAACTGACTACCTAACTGATACTATAATAGAAACGAACAAATGGAATAATTACATACAAGCTTTACCAGTCAGCCTTGTATGTTACATCGAATTAATGAGAAGAAACTAACATCACTGTGTCCCTGCCGACATCAAACTAAATGATATACAGATAGAATTTAGAACTTTGTAATTGAAGATTATATAAATATGTGTACACCATAAAGTCAAAAAGGTTCTTTTACATAAAGTAAATGAAAATATTAACACACATTTTCATCAAACGAAAAAATTAAAATCATAAGTAGATAAAGCATTTTTAGGGATCAACTAACCTGAACAATTAATTTTCGATCAGATTCTACATTCCCTAAAGTCTGTTCAATTTCTTGTTTCGTTTCACTTTTCAAAGGAACATTTAAATAAACTCGAACGCGTTTACTAATGGAATTGAGATTGACATGAACAACAGCAAAAAGAGAGCAACAGTAAAGAAACGATAACAAGTAAAAGCAAATTATACTAAATATTATCGAGCATCAGTATTGTATTGGTCTGAACAATCAACAGCAATGAAAACAAAATCTCTGAAATTTTTATAAATATAAACTGCCAGGGAAGTCCTACTCACTGCCCTGTAGCGCCACGGGTGTTGCTTACGAAATCGAGAGAACGAAAAGCAAATGTACGGCGCTCTAACCAGGATGGTGGATACGGAGGATCCGCCTAGCGGAGTTGGAAAACCCTGATTCCAAACCAATGGTGCACATGGGCCCCAGGATCCCGAAGGAACAAATCCCGTATGAACCAATTGTTGGTCATCGACTACCATCGGATTGCATTTCCTTACGAGGCTCCACTGCCTTTTGTATCAAACATTTGGGTCGAAGGCTCCAGGTGTGGCTCCCTAAGAAAACCACCTGCTTCGGTTTGGGCACCCGGGCAGTATCCCAGCCCTCACACAAATCGAATGATTTGTGTGGCACATATGTATTTGGTGCCTCCTTGCACTAATGTTTATGTGTTTAAATAAACAAAAGATGTAGTTTGAAATAAAAAATTCATGAGTGTCTAGTGACGTAGCAATTATTTTTCAAAAATTATCATGAAGTACTAAACGTTTTTATGAAATCTCAGATAATATGGTTGTTTAAATGTACTTTAGGAAATCGCATGATTAAATGTATTTCTATATATAACTATAGTGTAGAGCTTTCAATTAGGTCGAGTGCTAAAACAAGATAGATAAAGCGTGGAGGTAACCAGTATATGAAACGGCATTGTGGTCATAAAAGAAAGCTGTACAGTGTTGGCACTGGTCGGTTCAACACAACTCTCCGGTTGGGGTTACAGAGATGGTGCAGTATTGTGAAATGCTATCAGACAAGATTCAGAATAGAAGTTAATGGGGATGATGCTATAGTTTTCTTTTACATTCTTCATATAAATGAAAGAAACTATCATAAGTGAAAGTCTTGCTTATGTGTATTTTCGACTGGACCGTATCTACACCTATCTACTACTATTGTTCACTTTTTCCCCCAATACAATCTCTGTACTTGTTTGATGCATCCTACCTTCCATGCCTGCTTGTGTCAGATCTACACAAATTTTATAAGAGAGCTTTTATTTATTCATGAAAAAACTAATGTATTATGCAGAAACTAATTATACTTGTGATTCTTAAATAACATTTCCTCCTCCAAAATAGAGCAGCAGAACTGTTCGCTCAGTAGGTTTCCATTAAAACTATGTTATTTACATAATCCCTTTTGTTGTTTACATAATAAAATATGGACTAAATGCTAGATAACTATAACCAGCTAGACTTCCACATGATTAATAGCAAGAACTGAAATGATCACTTACACAAAAGGTAAGGGTCTATTTGAATGGAAGATTCGAAATCTATACATTATTGTTCACTCTAATTATCCTTGTTTACTAATAACAAAATAGACATGAGGATTACCAATAGGCTGAGAATATTGCATAATACAGTTTTGTAGCTTTTAGAAACCGAAAATCTGCATTACTTGTAATGATTTTTTGATGTTTAGATATCGTTTAATAGATTGTTTCTGAATTTCAAGATCATTTATAAAATAAATACATATATTACTTGTATAGTAACATTAACAGTCGTATGCATAGTAATTCTTATTTTGAGAAAGACCAGTTATGTTGTTGTAGCATTAGCATTTGCTAAGTAAATTATTAAACTGGTTTGGTGTCAGTCTAAATAGTGTAGATGCATTCATTCGTTTTCTTCTCATAGACCCTAGGTCTCAAAATTATTTTATACCATTTTAATCTCCATTTATTATTTCACCTTGAACTACATTCTAAATCTCTACCTCATAACCACGGAAAATATAAATCCTTTTGTCTTGCTGTATTGCTGATGTGGTGGTAGCCGATGCATGTTGGGTTAGGTTCTATGATTTATATAACTAACTAAATAATGGTATTATACGAGGACATGAGAAAAATATCTATTATTTTAGAAATAAATCTTTACAGCCCTAGAACGTGAAATCGAAAACACTTGTTTTGGTATTTTTTAAAAATGTAATTGCGTCAATTGAATGCAGACTATTCTAAGCCGAACCCCTTGAATATTAAGATGTCTATAAATAATTTTTTCAAGATTACTTTTATCGTCTTCAAGTACCGCGTTTATTTTGTAAAGTTACACAGTAATATATAATAAAACGTGGCACAAATAATCTGGGATCACTTTTTTTTAGCCGACGAAATATGACAGAATTTAATGAATTAAACTGAACATGTGATCATTCACACTGACCGATCATATGTTTTTGCACTACACAAATGTATTGTTTAGTTAAACTAAACATAACAGACAAGCATTAATGAAACACAAGGACAAAGTTACCTGACACATACAACAATAACTAAAAAGAACGACTAGAAATTGTTTTTAATGTATAAATATAACACAATATTATGAAGTGTTGTTCACAGTGAAGTTGTGTAACATTGTAAAGTAATAAGTAATTCAATATTTTATTGTATATTAATATTTATGATATAAAAATCTTAATGAAAATATACTTATTGCAATTTCGTGAGGTGGGACCGTGGATGCGCACTGCTGAGGACGACGAAACGACCGCCCAGTGCTTCCAGGTTTTCCATGGTGGTCTAGCTTCAAATGACTCCTGATCTGCTTAAAATTTATAAGCTAATTAATATTATTCATGTGGATGATAATTATATGATGAAAGACACCATCGTGGCATTCTATTTTTAAGGTGAAATATACGAAGTTATCAGAGGACAAGAAAAATTGGAAAGTGAGTGTCCAAAGGATACTCTATGATTTATATAGTCATTTGATTAATTATCTGTTAAACCACACGACCTTTGTTGAAATTTGTGTAAATAATACTTTTGATTAACCATTAATAAACATATATTCTACTGGTTCTGAAATGCCTTTCATAAGGACTCGGGGACTGGTTGTGTGAATAGATTATCAGTTTAGCCATCTCAACTATTTTAGTAAATTAACTTCTCGGTCAATCACATTGTCATAATACAAAACACGTAGACTGACCCCCTTGAAAAGCCATGTGCCTGTTGATAATCTTGGCACAAAAATGATATAATTCAAATAATATACACTTCATATAATTGTGAATGGAAGTAAAATAATACACACAAAAATCAACTAACTTTTTATAATCTGTATACAGCGCCAAGTGTGTATCCGGTGATAAATGTGATTCGTTCGAATCATCACTGATTACAGTTGATTGATCTATTTCACATTTTGGATCGGATACAATTTTCAATACTTTAGCTTTAAGTAAAATCTGTAGAATTTGTAATAATGTAGCTTCTTCAATACCAGTTTGTAGTTGAATAGCTGACACCGTGTACACTAATGATGAATTATACAACATTAAAACAGACATCTGGTACGTTGAAACCTTTTGTTTAAAAAAAAGTGGTAAAATCATATACAACTAACTCAAAGGGACTGGTTTCACAACAATTTTTCGTAAAATATTTAAATAAATGAGAAATATATAACATTATCATATTCTGTAAACTTCAAAGCCAAGACGCCAAGCCAAGACTGTTCAGTACACTTTCTCGTTCAAGTAACCAGTTGGGGAGTGAGTGTGTAGCACAGTAGACACAGCCCGTCACAACAATATTGACCTAAAGTCGGTTAGATTGTCACAGGTGTACTTTTTTTTGCCTTTTTGAGTACTGTTATCGTACTATACATATAAAATATTCCAAATATCATTTTATTTCTTGGAACTATACACCATAAATGATAAACTCTCAATATTATTTACCATTGAAGTTAAACATATTACGGGATGAGTAACCATTAAAACATTCCTTTCAATCAATTTCATAAAAGATTCATCAACAAATCATTATCTAATAAATATATATAAACATAAACATACTTGAAATATATATCTAGTTTTAGTATAATTAGTTACAACTTCACCACGTGATAAATGATAACACCATGTCAATTTACGACCAGTATGATGTTCTTGATAAAAAGCAAGAAATGTATTATGACATTGTTCCAACTAGGAATTGGTTTTAGAATGAAGGAAAAAAATAAAGGAAAAAAATTCAATTGAAGGTAAAAAAGACGAAGCGGATATCATGCTAAGATAGAAAAAAAAAGTTCATGAACTGAAGAAAGCAGGGTATACAGGGTTTGGTGCTTTTTACACTGTGAAACAAAACCAAACTTATAAATCGGAAGTATGTATTTTATTTTTTAAGTAATTGGGCGAGGGGTGCATACTAAGACTGAAATTTACCATTTCAAAAACGGCAAGATTAAAATTTATGGACGAACCAATCAGATCTACGACAACAGGTCTGAAATGTTGGCGCGAAATTCATTCACCAATCTGGCTAAATAGAGTTTTGACATTGCATCTGATGTCAGTTCGTAATGAAAACGATAAATCTAAGTCCTAACCCTAACCGTCAACTGTAAATTATAATCCTTATTCCTTAAACTGCTTTATAACCCTCATTTAGCCCTGGTAAGTAGGTAAGTACTATCAAGGTCACTTCAGTGTCGCTCAAAGGTCGTCCATAAATTACAGTTTTACCTGCGAAAACACATGAAAGTGAACTGAAAGAATTGAAACTGTAACTTCTATTACTAATAAGTAAACACTTTTTTCATCACACTATGATGGTTTATTTGAAACGTGAACATGTTTGTTCAGTGAACGACTGTAAATCCCTGTTCGATATACCACTGGACAATATGAATATGAGTAACCGAAAAATGATTGATTTCAAATATTTTCTGATAGAACATATTAAGTGTGTTTGGATACTTCGATAGTTCCTCGATAGTCCTCAGTAGCCGATATAGTCATCCATGTCACATATTTTTATAGAGGCTTTTACTATCCTCAGGTCACGTATAATAATATCAATATCTTTATTCTCTATGAACAATAACTTCTTTGAAGAAAAGTTTCTTTTTTACCTTCCACACTTTTTTTCTGCTGAGGACCCAAGAGTAGATTTTTGGAGACTAAGAAGCGGTTAAGATGTCAGTATGAAAAAAAAACTACTGAAACCTCAAGAAATAGAAATATTGAAACTGACACTCCTAAAATGACAAACAATTTTACTAAGAGTTTCTAATTCAACTTGACGAATTCAATACATTGATAAATTTTTTTTAAAAAAAAGAAGAATCATAGTATTTAAACAGTAGTCAATAACTTACTTCAGGAGGAATAGAAAAAGGTCCTTGAGCTTGAAATGGCCATGCGTTTGAACTAAGAATCATGATATTAAAATCAGCTACACAAATATAAATGAAATATTTATCAATATTAAAACATTAATAAGCATCTCTATCTAGACTTATCATGATAAAATAAGAAAATAATAAAACTATTTATAAATTATATGATACTCAAGAATTATATTATATAGGTAGATCTTATTGTGATTGGCAAGTGACTAGTTTAGCAGTAGACCCAGTAGCAGTGGGTCAAAATTTTCAATACAAATGTCAAAACAGTTCTACTATATGGGGCGGAAACATGGAGAACGACGAAAACAATCATCCAGAAAATACTAGTGTTTATTAACAGTTGCCTACGCAAAATAATTCAGATCCGTTGGCCAGATACTATCAGCAACAAACTATTGTGGGAGAGGACAAACCACATTCCAGAGGATGAATAAATCTGCAAGAAGCGCAGGAAGTGCATAGGACAGATACGCACATTGAGGAAAACACCCAACCGCATCACATGGCAAGCCCTCACATGGAATCCTCAAGGCCAAAGGAGGAGGAGAGAAAGACCAAAGAACAGATTACGTCGAGAAATGGAGACAGATATGAGAAAAATGAACAAAAATTGGACAGAACTGGAAAAGAAGTCCCAGGACAAAGTGAGTTGGAGAATGCTGATTGGTGGCTTATGCTTCACTGGGAGTAGCAGGCGTAAGTATGCAAGTGATTGGCAAACAACAGATCGACAAATCATTTATCTCTTATTTATATAATGTGTGAACATTTTAGTGCACTAAATAGAAAACTATTCAGTTAGCTAGTCGACTTATGTTTTCAAATCATTTTGTTTGGCTGTGATCGAATCATTAACCTACTGTCTTGTGTGAACAATCATCAGTTAAGCGTATAATATTATGAACTGTTGTTATTAATATCGTTGTTAAACTCTTTAAACACTTCTATAATAACAGAATATGAAAAATAGATCCAGATCAATGTAATGAAATTAATTTCTATGACAATATGTAGAAAATCGAAAGGTGTATGACTATAGCTTGATGATGCAATCAAAGGAAGCAAAGTTACACAAAGAAAGATACCATACATAATATTTGTAGTCAATGATGAAGTTCATGCTTAATGGTGTATACAAAACAAACTATCTTTCCAAATGTTATAGGAAATTACTTGAAGAAATTCATAAAAAATAGATAAGCATGTTACTATAAAACTGATGTTCATTTAAATGATAACTTATCGAAAAAGAAATTTATGCGCTTGCGTTAAATCACAATTTTTTCATATGAACTTGTTCAAGGAGGATACAAATCTATGACAAATTTATTTATTTATTTTAACACAAAGATACTGGTACAACAAGGCACCAAATACATATGCGCCATACAGATCTCATTTGATATGACAAATTAGTTGAAGATTGAGTTAACATAGTTAATCATAATACATTTCAGTGATTAAAGTGATTCTTAATATTATTAAATTTTAAACAGAAACACCAATTCGTGTCGGTTATGTGAGTTATCCACCTCAAACAATGCCAAAAGGGTTGCGCAAGATCATGGATCAATTAAATTTAAACATTAACAACATCGAATGCCTGCTCAATGGTCTAAAGTTTAGGCGCTAGCGCTCGAGACCGAAAGTTCCAAGTGTGGAATCGTGGATACGAACTGATAAAGTCTCACACTAGAACGAAACGGTCGTCCAGCGCTTCCAGGTTTCCAATTGTGGTCTAGCTTAGATCGACTCATGCATTCAACTGTGAAAATAAATTAATGGATATTAGAATTGTTGTCATGATTGACTGAGTGATTCAACTTCCAAACACTGTTTAGGTTGGAATTCTGTTCTGTTGCATATATATATAAATATGATAATTAAATTTTAACGCTTAGTGTTAATTCAATTCCCTAGATGTGATCAATATAAAAAACCATATTAAAAACTTATTCGATGATAAAATGCATCGTAATATACACTACTTAGTTATTTTTAGATAGAATATCAAATAAATACACGTGGTCAACACACAGTTAAACAAAAAAAACGCACTAGATTTAAATAACAAACAAACATATTTCTCTAGGGAAGTAAAGCTATTGTGTAATACGAGAAAATCACATGCCTTTTTTCAAATTACATCAGACATCATTTGCCCATGTGATTAAATGGAATGTTACTAGGGTGGCTACTATTATTAAATAAAGTATATAATGAGATATGTATGACTTGCATAGTATGTGTGCGAGTAGATAATATATAACATGACACTACTTTATGTATATATATATGGACAGTATCATGTTTAAAAGACAGAAAAAGATTATCGAATCATATCATCTCTCCGGCGAAAGGTTTGATAACATCTAAACATTTAATTACATTATATATTTGACTTTTTAAAGTGAAAACAAAGTAATCGCACATCAACTAAGATACTTACAGAGATTATTTACACAAAAAAAGATAAGCATTCGAAAGATTTTTGTATATTTATTCTGAATGAGTGCATAATTCATTCGAAGAGGATGATGTTCTAAACGAACTACAAAACCGACTACACTGTGTGGCTACTGAAGTAGAAACGAATTTACACTAGTAACTTCATATACTTTATTTTATAGTACCAAAATGTGCAACTTAAGATTCACGTTGCATACTATCGGGAAAATGTCAATTGGATGTGTTTATATTTTATTTGTAATGTTACTTGTTGAGCCGAATTATTCTAAATAATGAGGTAACGAAATCTAGTGCAGTTTTGGGATCCAGTTTTAAACCACCATGTGACTTCAGTCAGCTGAACAAACCAAAATATTTTGAGTGGGTTTTGAACCACAGACATTAAAATTAAGTCGAATGTTTAAATTATGAAGTTACCAGTGTGTATACATCTAATAAGCGATATTGACACATTCAGCCATGTACATCGAAGACACACCGACCGTGACGTGGAATAGTGAGTAATAAAATTGTTAATTGGAATAAAGATAACAATGACAAGATCAAGGCATAGAATTAATCAATGAAATCACTGAATCCTCGTCTGAGTCATTTTGAAAAACGCAAACTGTTTCAGTCAGTCACTGAGTTGTGTCCATATATATCTATGTATATTTGCATTAGTTTAAGCCGTCGTTAGCACATTAACCCGTCGAAATCAAATTATCAAAACAAATCCCAGAATAGTATAAGTAGTAACAGTATCAATAGTAATGAAAAAATTAAATAAACAAAAAAGCACAAGATTTTACTATTGGAGTCCTAAGGGAAAACAAAGAGTGAATTCACCTACCCTACTGCGAAGAGATTTGAGTCATTGCATTTAAAATCTCAGGTCATTATGATAATCAAGTGAAATTCAACCAGGTAATCCGCACCTACTAAAATGGCTCATTCTAATTGTCAGTGACATGTTTTCTCCCAAAAGTGTTAAATCAATTGCTATTCATGAACTCATGATTCAGTTCCATGTGATCCTATTGAGCTCATGTATACGTGTAGTGAACGAGAACTCATGTGGGGAAAATCAATTTATTGTTTAATGAAAAATTATATATATATATATATATATATATATATATATTAAATACATCATTTGAACATCTTTGCGTTGTCCTTTACATACTCCATTATTCCTCTACTTCTGTCGTTATTTTGATTCCTCTCTGATTTCCATCTTATTCTCTTCAATTTAATCTTCTGCTGCCAGGCGTTCCACTTCCAGTTGCGGCTACATACTACTTATATCTGACAGCATAAGTAGAATATACTACATACGCATTTTATGCATAGATCTCGATCACAGTTGAAATTAATTTATTTGCTGTGTTTCTCATCTTTTGATTTACTACCTTCCTGCGCAGATATAAAGTATGATGACTCGGTGTGACGAACATTTGTGCAAGAACCCATGTCAATGTCGGTTGACCGGCTGAAGGCTGGAATATTCAAGTCACTACAATATAATTAATAATCTGATGAACTACAGCTTAATTTATATTCTTTGGTACGTCTGTCAGTGAAACAAATTATCATGAGACCCCTAGGATAGATGAAGTCAAACATCACCTCCTAGTTACAGAAGTCGTTAATTATGTCTATGTTCCAAACATGACTCAGAAGAAATAACTGACTGAATTATTTATCAATCCAAACAGTTAGTCAACCATTCTAACCCCTTATTTACTACTGACATGTTGAAATTATGATCACATCTAGCGTTCAGGGACTTATTTATTATGACAAAAACATCGTATTATAATACCAGTTTATCGTGAATTTGTAAAGTTATCTATTGGTTTCCCTTTCTTTCTCTCTCTTTTAACCTTTGTTAATTAGTCAAGTTTTAACTAGGAAACTAATTGGATAATATCAGATGTATACACAGCTTAATGTCTAACTATCAGTATGTGATGTTTATACCGATTGCGTATAATAACAATAAAAACAAATTATATTATAATACAATTTTAATTGAAATTGTTTCTACTTCCCATGTTCATTAACACGCAAAGAAAAAGTTTTCTATTTATAAGGTGGATTAATAAAAAGAAACTATCATATACTTGCCTAGAATGCAAATTTAATGATTTAAGGTGAACTAAGAGAAAAATCAATGTGTTAACCTTTATATTATTATTTGAAAAAGAAAAAAGGATGGATGGATAAAGAGAAAGTTAACAAAAGGAAAGTAATATCCTGTATTAAGTATTGCAAAGTATCTTCTCTATGAAATAATAAAGAAAAGAAAAAACAATCAACGCAAAACTTCATATTTGAATGAACCTCCCATTTGTTCAAAAAGAAGACTATAGATTACTGACTAAATGCTCGTGAGATTTATCACCTATAATAAATTAATTTATGCTTAGCATAACAACCAGTATGAATAATGAAAGTGACTAAAAATAAGATAATCAGTAGGTTATTTTAGGTAAGAAATGAGGAAAGATTTTTAAAAAAAACATGTCAAACCTACTACCTTTACAGTCATAGTTATGGATTATTTCATGGTATGAAAGTTGCTTTGTTATTTGGATGAATCGGAGTATGTGGATTTTTGGTAACTTACTCTTAAATACATTATTTTTATTTTATTTAAACATAAATATTGGTACAAGAAGGAACCAGATACATATGCACCACACTTTAGAGTTTAAATAAATGCTCCGATAGTTTCACAAACATCTAGGTGGAAAAAAAGTTTTCACAAATAAAGGCTACGGAGACACTTCTGACTGATTCACAGACGAAAGTTACAAATCAACATATATAAACAGGTTAACAAAAAACTTTGAAACCAGACATCAAGACGAAACTGAAAATTTTAACTTTACAGTAAAAGTTTTTTCAGAAAGCCGAACCAAAGAAGAAAAACCATCTTCTTGAATAGTTAAAGCTATAAAAGTTTGATACATACATAAAACTTACTTCCTTTAATTGTGCTTCCATTGGCTTCTTCTTGTTTTTGTAAATAATCTGAAAATTTCGCATTCAATTCTCTAGTAGCATTAACATCTTGAAACATCCGTTGTAATTTTGCGGTGTATTCAAAACCGCAAGCTTCTTTTAATTTGGAAATCATCGAAGCTTCAGCATCCTCGGATACAGATTGATTGTAAACTAAACGGCGAGCCAGTGTTTTACTATAGAATTTTTGAAAGACATCTTTATCTTCAATATAGCGGAACACATTCATCTAAAATGATTAACCAGAAGAAATAAGCACAACTACATAGTGACGGAAAACGAAGAATGAGAGGCGTTAAAAGATATCGTGGGTATTTTCACTGAATGTTAGCACAAATTCATATGCAAAGAACACTTTATTGAATGATACAAAGCAAGAGACATTAAGTACATGCTTTAAAATAATGTAGAAAATATTATCAACACTACTGATAAAATAATTCCAAACCTTAAAAAAACACTTCGAAGAGATCTTATGGTCATTTCATTTGTAAATAATTTGTACTGATCGACTTTTTAATACATTTGAGATAATTTTATAAACAGAAGAAGAAGAAGAATTATGCAGCCTGTATCAGTTAGGCTACACGGAAAAAAAATTGACAAAATATTGAAATACTCACTACTTGTCCAAGTGTTTCTTCTAAATCATCCAACTGAATATCTTTCGCACTGAAAAAGAAAGAAAGAGGCACTAGACAGTTAGAACATAGCCCATATACATATATATGGACTCTTATGAAAGCACTCAGTAATAAAATTGACAAGAAATTGCAAAATAGTATAACCAGATTACCTCCAGTTACCATAACTAGTTTTAATCCTCAATTTGGAGAAACGCAACAAATACTTGTAATCATAACTTGGTTAAAAATCGATCAAATGCATTATACTTTAAAAACGAAGAATTTAAACATAACTGACTAATATCTAAAGTCATAAATATCAATCACCAAACTTAAAGCAGGATAATTGTAATAGATAACTATAGTACGATATGTTCACTGATTTATTGCACAAAAAATTAGTCATCGCAACAAGATAATAATGTCTACAGCTTGAGTATATAAAAGAGTTCGAGTTGTTGTACGACTGATAATTTATAACTAATAACAAGTTTGAAATTCAACTAATTTACCGAATATACGCAATGGTGGTTTAGTGATTACAGCGTTCGGTTTCCAGCAACTAATTCCCACATTCAAAATTCATCCGCCTATTTCTTTCTGGGTAACCGGGTTGTATCCTTAGCCTTTACATTGAGAATGCGGGCGGTACCCAAGTACCTGGCGAATGCCCGACCGTTGTTGCCACCTTGACGTGCTGGTCGGGCTTGCCTATCGTGATGAAGCAACCGAGTTATATTGGCTAAAACAACTGTTCCTCAAGGTCCTACCATGTCAGAAAGGTCGGTTGAAGAGCTGTAAGACTAAAAGCAACAAACCCAAGGTCCGAAGGCGAAGTCGTACTGCTGACTGTACAGAGGTGTGACAGCAGTAAGGTGTTTCCTTCAGACAACCATCATGACAGCGATGCTGCCTTCCTACAAGGAGGGGTGGGGTTAGAAAAGGTCGACCCTAAAAATTCACACCTCGTCTTATCCCACGGATATCCATCTCCGGCGGTAAGGTCTCAGCAAGTACGGAGCTAACACAAAAATTAATCATAAAAATGTCGTGTGTGGCCGAATTCATGCAGTTTTCGCCTGGGCACTGCGGTAAGGCTCTCAGGACACTAAGACCACCTTTAATCCAATTTCCTTTCCAGGCACTTCCAGAAGAACCCTTCCACGGTGTGGGCAACCGGGAAGTGAGAACTGCCCTCATACCTTTAACAGCACTCAAGACCTGGTGAATGAGTTAGTAGAATAATATTTTGTTTACATGGTATTGTATTCCATTTTAGGTCACATCAACTGTAAGAAACTTTGTGATACTATCTGGTTGCTCAACACGAAATAAGTAGAGCGTAGTTTGAACTTGTTACCTGTTAGTTAAAAGTCAAGTGCTTTAATATATATATATATATATATATATATATATATATATATATATATATATATATATATATATATATATATATATTACAAAATGGTTTCTGGTGTTTTGAACTTTACGACTGAACAATTAAACCAACTAAATCCTCATATTATTCATTTACTTAAGTGCTGATCAAGCAATTATAGAGTTTGACAGAATCAATGAAACACATTGAACCCAAGTTGAACAGAAAAGGATAGATTCGGGAGAGATGCTGCCGTACTCTAGTTATGAAGAAGAAAATATCTCGCACACTCAGGAAGTTGCTCTAACGCTGTCCAAAGAGGATGGCAGTATCACAGCCCACACACGAATCAAGTGACATGTGTGGCGCATATGTATTCAGACAATAGAACACACCGCATCGGGAATCAGAAGCAGATATCAGAAGGACAAATAACAACTGGAAAGGATTACCCAGGACAGAGTTGGATGGAGAGTGCTGGTAGGCGGCCTATACCCCTTCACAAGGAGTAACAGGTGTAAATGATTGCATTTGTTTAGCTAATCAAAAATGGAGGCCAATATACGTAAGGGCTCATAACAAATCTTGTGATTATAAATATCAATACCGAGCTACAAAATACAATTCAGTATTAATATTTAAAAAATGATCATGAACACAATACAACCAAGGCTTGAAAATTTAGGAGATATAATTTAAAACATTAATAATTCATAATAATAAACTAACCTTTTCTTTAATAAGAAATCTGCATATTTAGCTAAAAGTTCAGGGGATTTTCTTTGATTTCCAGCTAATTCAGTGACAGCATTACGATTTATAAAACGTTCGCATCCTTTATCTAAGGCACGTGAAAATGCAGGATCCCAAGCGAAGGCGGATAATACAAGATTATAATGTTTTTGATGAACTTTTAATATTGTATCAATATACAATTTGGGATCCTGAAAAATCAAATAAAACCGAAGTAAAATTGAGAAAAATGTATAGCCGAGTAAAGCCTATCAAATGTCTCGATTATGATGGTATAATGCTTTTAACACTAGTGATCAATAATAATAAGCAAGGAAACTGAAGCTTTTTTTCATAGCATTAACAGACAATTAGCTTTTTTTGTTTGATCGATGCATAAAGCCATTTCCATCAACAACAAAAAGCTTAAGAGAAATCTTTTCACTGATTGTCAATGTGTGGTAAAAAGATATGAAAAGCAAAAAAAAGTGAATAAACATCAACTCACATTTAAAGCAGCTTCAGCCACTTGACGGATAGCTTCCCATCCTTTATCAGCAACATGATCTTCCATGACAGAAACAAGAACACGTATTCCACTAGGAAAATGACCAACTAAGCGATACATTCGCCATATATCTAAATATTACAATAAAATTTCATAATATCGTGAATTAAATATGAGTGCAGAGATGGGATATTAAAAAACACAGGTAACTGATAAGGGAAAAATATGTGAAGATGAAACTTTTCCTAATTATGAATGAGGGGATCTTTGGAACGGTAAAAAACTATCGGAATCCCATAGATATATGCTAACAATTTACAGCTAACTTTGCGAACATGTATAGTTAAGTTACTTAACAATTATACAGTAAAATATATGTATAATATTTGTTCATTAATAGATCCCAACACTTACCATTCATGATTTACGTTGGGATATATCACAAACATTTAAATTGTTGGCTTTCTTTACTTATCCTGAAAAAATTTCTATATTCGAAGAAACTTATGGGATTTTATCAACAAAGGCAAAAATCTGTCAAACGACCATCAAGTAACCGTTACACTGAATCTTTTTTCTAAGCATAACTAGAAAATTACTATAAAAATAACCAACAACTGTACACACCCAAAAGTCTCTGAATCTCAAGAGGATAACCAGCTTTTTTAAATGTACCAATATTCCGGGTTAATGAGTCGCAATAAGCTAGTCAATTATGTATACGGGGCTTTTTTTTAAATCGTTTTTAACTATACAACATTAATCAAAGTGCATCTTCCACTCGAGTATCGAATCGGTGTATTTCCAAACTGACAAATAGACATAGTAATGACACCTATCTAAATGCTAAATAATATTTCTATTCTGTTTTAACAATTATCTGTGGGTTTAAGGGGTTGAATTGTTCTAAAAATTTTAGAACATTTAAATAATGAAATGTGCAACATTGCAAAATCATAATGAGTCTTAATTATTATTAGTTTAAAAACAGTCATATGAGATTTTTTTCCAATCTCTAGGAAACTGTAGTGCATAAGTGTAGGATTTTTAAATTCACTTTAAATTTCAAACAAGTGTACGCGAAAAATTCAGTTACTTACTTACGCCTGTTACTCTCAATGGTGTATAGGCCAACGATCAGCATTTTCTAACTCACTCTGTCCTGGGACTTACTTTCCAGTTCTGTCCAATTTGTGTTCATTTTTCTCATGTCTGTCTCCATTTCTCGACCTAATCTGTTCTTTGGTCTTTCTCTTCTCCTCCTTTGGCCTTAAGGATTCCAAGTGAGGACTTGCCCTGTGATGCAGTTGGGTGTTTTCCTCAATGTGTGTGTGTCCTATGCACTTCCAGCGCTTTTTGCAGATTTATTCATCCTCTGGAATGTGGTTTGTCCTCCCCCACAACAGGTTGTTGCTGATAGTATCTGGCCAACGGATCTGAATTATTTTGCGTAGGCAACTGTTAATAAACACTTGTATTATCTGGATGATTGTTTTCGTCGTTCTCCATGTTTCCGCCCGATATAGTAGAACTGTTCTGACATTTGCATTGAAAACTCTGACCTTGGTGTTGGTTGAAAACTGTTTTGAGTTCCAGATGTTGTTCAGTTATAAATATTCTACTCTTGCTTTGCCGATCCGCGCCTTCACATCTGCATCAAATTCACTGTGCTCATCAATGATACTGCCTAGATATGTTAAAGTTTTTACATCTTCCAAATCTCCTCCGTTAATTGTGATTCGATTGTTGCATGCTGTGTTGTATCGGATATAAATTCATTTAGGGGAGTTTTAAATAACCTTATTATTAGTCTGAAGAATTAAGTCCCAGACATTGTGTTTTATATTCAGTTATGAATACATGCACAAACATATGCACATAAATGTAAGTAAATTGTTAACGTTCTTGTGACATTCAATTAAACAATAAACTAATCAGTAAAACAAATTTTTCTAAACTCACCTTCTTCTCTATCTTCATTGAAAAGATCTGAGAAGACAGATGTTAACCGATCAATATGTTCACCAATTAGATAATGTTCACAAGATCTAATTAATTTGGGAAGTGTACTTATATGTAGATAAGTTTGAACACGAATACGTTCTTCATTTAATCGTGTTTCCACCTATAAATGAATGTAATTTCAAAATTAAAATATAAATAGTAAAAGATTCAGCACACTTTAAGCATAAATATAAAAAAATACTTAATATTCAATAATTATCCAATGGCAGAGGTGACTATAAGCAATATTAATCTTAAATGGCTATCGTTGAAAAACTATGATGACGTTCAGTTTCATGATTCATGAGATTAAACACAGTTATAAGACATGTTGCACGAGGTTTTTATCCTGACAAGAAAATTAGTTGGTTAGTGGAATTATTAAAACCAGCAATTGTATTGATCCTGGTTATCTCAACGGCAAAGTATTTTTCTAAGATAATTAACAATTTAATGTGGGCAGTGTGAAACTGACACTTAACCGCATATTTTCAACAGCATACACATCCTTTTCGATTAACAAAACTTACTTCATTCTCATTCTTTCGTCTGTTTTAACTAGGTTCTCTTGACTTATTTCATATCTAATTGTTTAAAAAAAATGATGCGAATCCGTACATAACATTTTCCAGAAGTATGTTTTAAAACACAGTGCACTGTTTCACAAAAATGACTTCTTATATTTAGTTGCCCACTAATGTTAATGTTATTTCTTACTAATTTTCTTTTCCACTAGCTGAGTGTCGGAATGAACATCTGTAAGCATCTACGTAACAAGACTAATAGACGTGCCAAAATCAGTCTATAATTCAAGTAATCATTGGTTTAAACCTGGACAATATGACAGATTAGTCTTACCACAAGCTATCAAACAATATGCAAGGTCAAACAACAATCACTACAGTATCTAGTGATTTTAACGCAGATTCAGGTATAATAAATCAACTACAATTATCTTGAAGGATAATTTGGACTTCTAATTCACTGAATTAATAACATTGGTTATCCCCTACAGCTATGTTTGTAAAGACTTATTTTTAATAGCAAAAGGTTCAGGCACCTACCACTATTTTTACGAAGGTTAAGAAATAAATCGTCTGGCTATAAAATATCACCGAAGTGAATGGTTGGAAGTTAGTCGATTGTCTTGTAGTACTTACTTAGACCAAACCTGTACGCAGGTCGAAGCAAGTGTCAGCACCTAATAACTGACTTGATGCAATACCTACTTAGAAATAAGTTGACCACTTCACTTATTCACATAAAGTTATGTGACCATTAAAGTCAGGAAATATGGAGAAAACTAGTCTACCACTAAAATCATAAGTCTTCATTTTATTCAGAATGTAAATATACTGACTAGAAATGAATATATAATTTATCATAATATCGTATGTAAATACACATATGACTTGCTTTTTGAAGGTATTCGGGTACTGTGTTTGACTGCAAAAACTGAGCACTTTCTAATCGGTAATACCGTTCAGTTTCAGTCAAAAATGGTCGTTCAAAGTATTCCTGATAAACTGATAGATTGGTTCGCGTGTCCGATGTCAATGATGATGTCGCACTAGGAGTATTGGGAGTCGATTCATCCGCTGGATCTCCGGAATGAAGTGGACCTCGGAAATTTGGGGTAGTTTTATTTGATGTGCCTTGGAAGCCGGATTCCTAACAAAAAAACCCACAGTATTTCAAAATAAGTTAACTTAAGGAGAAATATATAGATGATAAGACATAACTTGGATAACTAACCACTTCCAACAATTTTACTTATTTATTTTACCACATAGATATTGATACAACGAGGCACCAAATAGATATGCGACACATAAATCTCATTTGATATGTGTGAGGGCTGTGATACTGTCCGGGTGCCCAAACCGAAGCAGGCGATTTTTTAAGGGGTCACACCCCGAGCCTTCGACCTGAAGGTCTGATCCACAAGGCGGTGGAGCATCGTAAGGAGATGCATTCCCATGGTAGTCGGTGACCAACAATTGGTTCACACACCATTTGTTCCCGCAGGATACTAGAGCCCATCTGCACCATTGGTTTGGAATCCGGTTAAAGCGCCGGACATTCGCTTTTCATCCTCTTGATTTCGTAAACAACAACCCCACCACGAGAAGGTAGTGAGTAGGACTTCCCTGGTAGAGGCTATATACGCGTGGCCATGTGAGAGCATTTCGAGAGAGAGCGCGGACTCTCCCCACTCTCTGCCGTACCAGGGCATTTGGGGGCCTTCCAACAATAAGAATTATGATGATTCACTACACCGTTAATGAACAAATCATTAGTCAAATTAATATAGTTGGACTTATAAACACTGTACCATAGTTGATAAACATAAAATCTAAATTTATGTTCTTATAATACACAATTATCCGTGTAAATCAATGGAGTAAGTAATATTTATCTTTTCAATACACCTCGATCAGAACACTAAGGACAAGGTAAGATATTATTTACTTCTCAGCGACATTAGTATGAGCACTAAGATACTTTTTCTTCGAATAATCAATCGTTTACTCACATGTACAAATACAACCATCATTCGTGATATTTACAAGCTATGATACTATTGCTTAGCATGTACCACTCCATATTTTACTGTGAACAAAAGTTACCTAGTAAGCAATGAATGATGCAGAAAAAATTTCACTAAGAATTTATGCTACATAAAAGATTCAAAGAACTCACGCAGAGCGGATCGATTTCTGATTATTTTTTTCATATACGAGCTAACAGATAAAAGTAGGTAATAAAGTATCAGGAGGTAGAGACATGTCAACCTTAGATATTCCTTGAAAAATTTCGTGAGACCATTTGAATATATAAGGTTGACATGCCTCTCATTTGAAACTAACCTAAGAAATGTCACTAACACCGAAGAGAACATCAACAGATGGTTATGTGAAATATTAGCTTAACCACAGTTGTAAAAACCTCGCTTGAGAACCCACAGTGCTGTCTCCTACGTGTTCACTATGAAAGCTGAGAACTATTTTATTCATCGTCCAGTATATTTTATCCCTTGAAATCTCATTAAGTTAGTCTGAAATAGTAAAACATAAGGAAACCTATCACTATAATCCAGTAATCTAGTACTCGATAGTGACACCACTGAGTGTGTGACAAAATATAGATTGACAAACATAGTCTCCATCTAAAACGTTAGATAATTAAATAACTAGATAGTTCGATGCTAACTTGTTTACAATAAACTGAGAGACGAGCGATGATGAGTAGATAGGTAGGATTATGAGAATTGAACATTAATATGCAAACAGTAACTCAAAGTACTTACCACTTCAGACTTATTTGGTTTTAAAGTAGAACCACTAGGTTTAGGGGGAAAATTAGGAGATTTAAAAGGTTTCATTAGATATGGCAAGGGTTCACTAGGTGATGAAGCAGTTCCAGTTAACGTAGATGTTGAGAAAGACTGTTGGTCAGACGTAATACCCAACTCAACCAGGCACTCAATAATCTTTCTTAGTCGTAAGGTAGATAAAATTTCTCCACGTCGTTCACGTTCAATCTCACGAAGAATTGCGCTGATTAAAACCCTAGCGTGAGGTTTTAGTAAATGTTCGCGCCATGTTATCAGTGCAAGCTACAATAAACAGAAGTTTGCGAAATATTTGTTTGTTACGTCTTTAATACTAAATATGCAGAAAGTGATGAAATACATTTGTTCTTTAGAAAATCGAACGGTCATTTAAGTCTTCATATGAAAGCTCAATGTTTACCTATTCAGAGCTGGTAACTAATTTTTTCCAAAAAACACGAGAATGTATGATTACGAGGTCTTTAAACGATGAGGACATGAAATGTCAATTAAGCAGAAAAGTAAACCACAAAAATGAATTTCCAAACAAGCTTTTTATGAACAGCAAGCCGATAAGTATATTGGCTGAGTAGGAATAGCTGTCAATAAAGCAAAGCTAATTCATGAACGGTGTACCAAACAATAGACCAGTAAACTGAGTGTTTCAACACTATGAAATAAATTGATAGTCACCCCTATCAATAAAAAGGGTTTACGTCACCTACGCAAAAGCTATCGCGGGATAAGTTTACTTCCGATTGCGCTCAAATTACTACCGACATACTTCGCAGATTGTCCGAAACTCCTGAAAGATTGACTTGCGAGGATCAGACTGGTTTTCGTTCTGATCAAAGATGCATTGGTCATATTTTCACCCTTCGCTAAATGTTAGAACATCACCATAGGTATTGCAGGTTAACAATCGTTGCATTTCTTGATATCAGGCCCGCTTCGATTTCTTTAACAGGACTGTTCTCTAGGATTGTCTAGTGAAAAAGGGTGTCCCAGAGAGGGTTATTAACATCTTAAAGGCCTTATATACAAATACTTCAGAGTAGGGGAATACAACCACCTCTCTTCACTGCTTTATTCAAACACTGGGGTCAGGTAGGGTTTCCCATTATCATCATTCCTTTTCAACTTAGCTGTTGACGACGTTCTGGAAACAGCTCATACGGGTCCAGGTAATAGTGGTGAGGATCTGTTATCTGGAGAAATGTATTCCGACTTTCAGCATGCGGATGATATCTTACAGTGAGATAATGATCAAACCACGAAACCGGCACTTAGTTGGCAACTAGTGTCCGTAGGTATGGCATGTGCTTTGTACCTTCTAAGTACAAAGTACTTTTCTCAGTCTGGTGGGGCACTACCTGGATTTACTCTTGGTGATGAGCAGATAATAGTCGAGAAGTTCGTGTATCTGGGTAGTTGTATAGATGCTGGTGATGGCGTGACTAGTAATATTAAATCACAGTGAAAAACAGAGCGGTTTATACCAATTCGGGCCATCTTGTACGCCTTCGTGATGCCACCCTAGCTGGTGAAGGTTGAATCTACAGCGCGTTAGTGAGAGCAATTTTGTCCAATACTTGTGAAATCTAGTCTCTTTAAGTTGAGGATGTTAAGCAACTCGTGCATTATTTACCGAATCTGGGACTGACTGGAAAGAGTGGATAGGCAGTCAGTTTATGACGTGGCTCTGTGCTATGGAAAAAAACTGCACAGGACTGGCATCTGTTAGTCCTGTACAATTCCCTGAGTAGCTTGAGGTGTTACCCGACATGGCTCAGAATACAAGCCAATGGGGATCCTATTGTAGCTTTCTTTTACTTTCTACATATAAATAAGAGGAACATTCCATCCTGATTGTATTTTCCTTAGATGAACTGCTTTCACTATAGCTACTATTATTATTGTCATTCTTAATGTTATTCACTGTTATAAATTAATTCATTTGTCTTTTTATTATTATTATACTGATCTTTTCTCTGTCTCTTAACAATCTCATTTTTATTGTTAGGCATATATATTTTGATGTCCTTTGTATCAATGTTTATACGCTTAAATAAATACCAAATAAATAAATACTGAACTACGACAGAACTCAGGTATCCAGTTCAGGAACAAATGATCGTTCAACACAGTCAAGACTCTAAAACAAACAGGTTGACTTGACAATTTTACTGTAATATGACAATCAAATGGTGTAACCAACATAACTGATCGACATCGCTTTCAGCCATCCAGCTGGCATGATATCATTACCTAACTAAGGTGCATCAGATATAGCGGGGCCCGGACTTGCAGTCTCCGTCAAAAACCGAATATCCTAAAGAGCAAGTTGTCTCCCCATGTATACACATAAGATTTTTAACCGAAAAACCTCTCATACAGTAAATACGCATACTTAGGTGGCCAATAAATTGGTCGTTACCGACGTGTAAGCGGTTATAAATGTCACCCACTTTGATAACAGTATATATAAGTTACTAAGATCAATGTTGACCGGTGTTGGAGACGGTTGGAAGAAAGTTGGGGGCGACAAAACTGAAACGTGGCATCAGTGCTTGAAGTTACTAATTTCTGGCCTGAGCCATGTTAGTAGATGCAAACTACTTGGTTGGAGACTATGTGACATGACTCAGAATCAATCACAATGGCATAGGTGTATACACTCCGTCTTCTCTTAAACTGTGATTAGAATTGCTTCTATCTTTCTACGAACGAATTCTTTCTTCCTGTACTATATCCTTATACACAATCATTCTTTTATATATTATTACCATTGAAGGGACTACCTCTATGAATTTGGTGTTCATCTTGTTGTGCTAATGAGGTATGGCAAATTGAACCGATGCACATGTCACCCACTTCGATAACAGTATATACTGTTATCGAAGTGGGTGACATTTGTAACCTAAAGAGGGACACGAATTACGATTGCAGGAGTTCATATTGGAATGAGTGGATGATGGAATGACATGATGCACACAAAAATACTAATTATAACATCTAAGTGAACTACGATACATGAAAGCCACCAAGGGTTGGATGAATAAATAACCACAAGTAGAGGATTACTGACTGTTCAGAGTGCATATAACATCAAGAAAAACCATGAAATCTTTTAGGATGTACTTCGTACTATAACTCCAAATACTTCACAACAATAAAAAGAATCACGTACTGTATAAACGACGTAAACATTCTTTCGTCCCTCTTCACATTCCCGTTTAACCCAATGTCTATTCAAGTAATTACAAACCCCATCCAGAACTCTGGATGCAAAACGAAATTCTGTCCAAGCCTTCTCGAAATATGAAAGAGTTTCCTCATCGACTAGATTATTTCCTTTCTGTAAAGAAGAAATGACTGGAAAAATTGTAATTTACTAGCTTCAAGGAGTGAACATGAGCCTTTAAATAATTGCGCAACTTTTTGTACAGTTCAAAACCCACTAATTTTCCCCCAGGTTCAGTTTCTATAGCATTCCTACTGGGGGTTGCATGAGATTTCGGGTCGACTGATGTACAGTAATTGTAAACATGAGTATGAAGCTCCATGTATCTTTTTCTCTTGATTGTCTCCAGCCTGAATATAGCGTCGAAACCACTTTTTAGGTCATCCCAAACCAATGCCAAATTCCCAGCAGAAGCAGACATATTTAACAAATGGGAGGATTAATTTACATAGGGAAGCAAGTATGCGAACAGCCGCGCATTAGTACAACTGTCCAATAAAATCCAATAAACAATTACTTTTTAGCTTTGTTGGACATAAAAATTCATATTCATTATTGTTGTGTTCTACTCCTTAAAACATGGAATGGCTGGTTTATTTGAACTAATTGCTTGATGGTGAAGTTCTAAGGCATCCCATTGCACCTCATAAATAAGATTTAACTTCAATGTTTAAGATCATGAGTCAGTTGAAGCTAAATCACTGGGCGGCCGTTTCGTCTTATTGTAGCACTCCCCAGAAGCACACACCCATGACCTCGCCCCCTGCGAGATTCGAACCCAGGACCCACTGGTTTCGCGCGCGAGTACTCAACCACTAGACCAGTGAGCATGCATCCAATGGTGTTAATGTCTAACTTCAAATGATCCACGAATAAGATTTAATTCAGATAATTAGGAAGAGGGACGATCGATGGGCTAGATACGTTAAGATGAATCAGATGATTCTGTAAAGAATAAAAGAAGCTTTTGCTTAATAGTCGTCCATATTTAGTGGCCGTGCATCACCAGTGCCTACAGACGGAGACCTAGGTGTATTTGCCAATTAAACAGTAAAAATAATAGCAAATTATACTGAGAAACCGTCCTCAGTCCTCACGAATATGTCAGGTTTCCTATTAGGAGACTCTTGAGAAGTCGCTCGGACGACCTCGACTGGTAACGAATTTCAGTATTCGGCTACTCTTAAGGAGTAGGAGGTATGCCTATAGTCCGTGACGCTACGATGCATATCCAGTTTCTGGGTATAACCCTTACTATTATATTTTGAGACTGATCTTCAGTAGGTATTCAAGAGAATGTTCAGAAGTGTTTAGGATGCTGGGGGTCATTAGAAGGTCACTTATACGACGTCTATACTCTAATGGATAGAGGTTAAGTGATTTGAAGCGCGCTTCATAAGTCCTGAATTTGAGTTCCCTCATTGGTCAGGTGGTACGTTTTACCGTCAAACTGACCAAAAAATGGGCTTCGAGTCACTTTTGCAGGGTTTGATCGGCAGACATCTTTGTCTCAATTAGCGTACGACTTCAGATCATGGAGTAGCCAAACTCCTAAATATTTTTAGTGGCCCGCGGATCTCACTCCAATTTAGATAGTATGAATGATTGTTATCGCCTATTCTCGTATATCATAGTCGACTTAGATCACGTTATCCAATAACGGAATTAAATAAGAGAGCAAAATGACGCACAGAGAAGATGGCTGGGAAGCCAACTCCATTTCAAGTCAGGCATTACTCAATATTTATAGGCAGACAAAATAAACCCCAGACATGTGATGAGTCATGGGACATGAAGTGTACACACATATACGCTCATGTGAAAACAGTCAAGGCTAATAAGCGAATAATTAACAAAGTCAAAACATGACTAAAGTAGAATGAATAGAATGGAATGTTCGGAAACTAGAATAAGATATATTATGGGCTAAGACTAATGACTAACACTACATATTCATTAACACGGGATACTTCTAGCCAGGACTACCTAAGCTGCATGCGTTGTCTGCAACATGTTTCACATGGATCACTGTACACTTCGAGGTGTTAAAAAAATTCCGCTGTTGTCCACCCAACTTTGAAATCTAGTCAGATAAACCAGAAGTGCAAGCTAATCATCTTGGTTGTACACTTTTCCAGAGTTTCACATCGTCAGTGAAATGTCATACGTCAGATGATGCTTTAAGAGGAATGTCGTTTAAATAAATGTGACAAAAAAAGAGGTCCCAGTAACGAATCGTGGTGAACCCCACTAGCTTTTGGGAATCCGAAGAATATGATTACGACCTTCCCTTTGAGATCAACGACAGTTGTCTATCTGACCATCATCGTCAGGTGGTCAGCAAACTGAAGAAATATCTATACACATAAATCGAATTTCTGAAAGCAAGATTATTTGATGCGATGAGAGTGATACTCACAAATTGTAGAGGGTGTGATTTGGACTTTGAACGGTCAGATGCTTTGACCTCGGGAAGCAACTTTTGGTACCGCCAAATTTATGAACTATCTAATGGTGAAGGGTCTACCATCATGAGCTCACAGTCTTCTCTGAATGATATATCGAATGCTATCAGACAAGAGATTATACGATTCGAAAGTGTTCATCCAAATATCTATGCTATATACGACCTTATTGATGCAGTTGAGGATAAAAACTTAGCAGAATCATTGCGTCAGTTAGTTGTGTCAATTGAAGGTACCGTATCATTTGTCAATCAAACTTTTCGTCTCGTAGACGCATTCGTCAATAGTCAGAAGCTGACACGGAGTGGCTATGTCAAGATTGAATCCTGTTCGTTCAATCTAACTGAACAGACCATATCCGAACCAAAAGGAATGTCATTTTTTAGACGCTGAAGTCTCTGATACAATAAATCGGTGCACTTCTGTTCAGTTGCACGTGAAGCTCTCGACGATGTAGCAAGTATGGGCCGGTTGGAATGCCTGAAAGTACTGTTCCGCCAAAAGGTCAGCGACATCACCAACGTTTTTGGTTGAACATTTAGGTCCGATTCTGGCTTGTCGAAGAGAGGTTGTAACAGCATAGGTTGGTTGGTTAAGAGTTTACCCCAAACAATCAAGTATATGCCAAAACAGTATTGTTCAAGTGTTCATTCACTTCCTTATTTTGTAGAGGCATTATATTCCCTATTATCTTATATTGAATGTTGAAAGCCTTTGTTTGTCTGAACAGATAATCCCACGCTCCACTGTGACTGCGCTAAGATCGAAATAAAAACCTATTCACTACTTGTCTGGTTTCTTCTATCAATACCACGAGCGTTTACGTGACGTAAGAAGCTTTACAGAGTGAAAACAAATTTATCGATAAACTTAATCTGAAACTGAATCCTGTCTTCCTTTTTGCTTTATTGCGTCGGTTCCTTGCTTCTTTGCAATGCCTATATGTACTTTTGCCACTATTTCGTTTGTATTCCGCTCATTAATGCTTTTGCGTTGTAGATCACCAACGTAGATTATGTATGTCGAAAATGATTGGGGGCCTACTCGAGTTAGACGTGAATGGTGTGACGAACCAGCTAACGTCGTACTCACACCTCGTGGTCAGCACCTTACATGGACTACCCCACTGACGTACCAAAGCACCATAGATGCTTTGAAGACTGTACAACACAGAGGACGTTATTACAAAAATATATTAGTTTAAGTAAATACAAGCTAAAGTAGGACCACTGCCGCCAGTCCATGGCGTATGATTAACTGATGCGCGTTGGTTGTCCTTGACCTTGATGAGGATCGATGATTTGTTCGATATTCAATGACCCAACTGATGGATGATTTGACTAGGGCTTAATGACATTTCGCTGGCCCTACAGCGTTTTAGCAATCGAACGGGGCGATTCCATATGATTGTAGGTTGTTTGTAATTTTTGGGATAGACTGTTTGGTAGCACGGAAGATCTTGCGAGGTTAGAAATCCCAATGAGCATCCAAATCAAGTTGTGAGTGTACTTTCCTATCGACCTGTTGTAGATTGACCTGTAAAGCTGATATATCCAAACGTTTGAATTTCTAACGAAAGTTGTTAGAAGGACGTCTTAGCTCAGTTTTGTACGTAAAATTAAAAGCAAGATCATGTTACTGGTTTGCAGTTTGAGACATTCAGGTTTCAGTAATGTTTCTATCTGATGTAAGATAACTTGATAGGATCTTTGAGCGACGCTAAGGTGACATTGGGAGGGTCCACCTAACAACTAGGACCAAATGGGGGTTATAAACCGGTGTGAGGACTTCGAATTGTGATTTACAGTCGACGGTTAAGGTTATGAATTATACTCATGGTTTTTGTTATTAACTGACATCAGTTATAATGCCAAGATTGTTTTTTTTTCTGACTCGCGCGCTTTTCGAACGGGAAGTTTAGTACTAACGTGATTTGCATTTATCAAACTTTTGCTGTGTTCTTACGCAACAAAAGTAACATTTCAGTTCTAAAGAATCTATCCTGAGCTAAACGTTCGGTAGATTACTATTTTTTTGAGTTTCACCGTATTTAATAGTTACCTGTGGTTTTGCCTCAGTTTACTATTCGGTTTGTTTTTTGTTTTTCACGTATAGACTAGTTTCAGTTTATAACACTCGTTTTATCCATTTTTGTCCGTTTTCAGTGTGCTTTTTAGTGTTTTTAAAGGTCTTAGGCTCTTGTAGGCATCTATAACATAGTTTGCTTCAACATAGTCATGAAAAACTCATGCAAACGTCCGGGATGCCGTTTTGCTGTTGCAACTGGCATGCAGTGCGACAACTGCAAAGGTTGGTTCCACGAAGCATGCACAGATCTGACATCAACTGCTTACAACAGACTCAGCAAGTCAGACCAAAAATGGGTATGTGTCACGTGCAGCACGGATGCTGTAGTTTTGCTGAGTAACATCATTGTCCTACTGACAGGTCTTCGGAACAAGTTGTCAGTTAACTTGGACAACGACAGTAAGAAAACCGGTAGACAAACAAGAGCGTGCGACGGATACAAAAACAGGGATGTCGATAGGTATACCATCGATGGAACATCCATCAACACTAATGATGACGTGTCGAGGCTCAGCACCATCATTACGTCGAAGGTATTAGACTCCCTAAGCAAACTCGGGTCTCCCAGCTCAGGGTCCCTGAACTCAACAGTGGTTCCCAAAAACCCTGTAGGTGATTCGACCCAAGCTAAGAAAGCCCAAAAGAACCAGGCATCACCGCCTAAGCCGAGCAACCCAAGTGTTGCTGTACGGAAATTAACTCGTGATTGGTCGCACAGTCTACTCCCAAGACTGTTCGTCGGTCAAAAAAGAGCTCAAGCCTCATTAACGCACACTGACCTCCAAACAGCAAGTCATTAAACATGAATCCGCCGTTAAACCTGGTAAATTAACAACAGTTCGTGACGACCCTCTCATTATCATGAACC